CGGGTCACCATGGGTGGGGGAGATGGTGGAGGACCGAACTTGGAAACAGCCACAGAGAAGGAATATTCAGACAGATAATAGCACACAAATAACAGCTTGACACATAGACAGTAGATGCAATGTAGCATCTGAAGATTCATTAAAGACCAACAACAATAATGGTGAGAGTAGTCCTGAAAATGTCTTACAGAACTCTGCCAGAAAGAAATCCGCTCCTGTAGATTTGCTGCTTTGCATAGTGAAGCAATCATGGTAACTGAAATATCATAGATTCTAGACTCTCAACCAGTTTCGAACTCACATAAGGGATAACAATGCCATCAAACAAAGCCTCTGGATCAGCCTCAGTGGAGGAGGAGTCAGACAAATACAAAAATCCATAAAACTGACCAAAACGTGAGTTTATCATCTCATTGTCCAAGCACCTAACACCCTAATCATTAATAATCACTGGAATAATCTGAGTGGCCGACTTCTGATTCTGTTGATGTATAAGCAAACATTGCGCTCACTCACAGTGTTCATAATCACATTTGAATATGTCATGACTCCCATCCTTTACCCTCATCTGCCTTATCATTTCCTCCTCATTCAGCTCACCTTGTCCTCTCACCAGGCTCCAGCCAAGCCCTGTTTTCCCCAGCAACCTCTGTCAGCTTCAATCAGTTCCATTCATTCCACCTGCTCCTGTAATCAGCCTCATCCCATACACCTGCTTCCCCTGCTATAAAAGAACCAGCCATCCAGTCAACCGGTGCCAGATGATTACAGCCTTGTCAGTAGTTCTCCAGCCATCCACCCTGCCTGATCTTTGCCTTTGGACCTTGTTTTTTGCCTGACCCCTGCCTTGCTTTCTGCCTGCCACCTTGACCTTAGCCTGCCTCTGAACCTGCCTTGCCCTCCAGGTACCTCTGCATTAAATAAAGACTTTTTAATATATTTTTACTGTGTTGGCGTCTTCACGGGTCTTCTGAACTCGGTTCCTGACAGAATAATCTGGCCAAACTCTGACCCTACGCCGACACAGTACTTGGGAGTTTATTTTTTATTTTTTTTTCTCGACTTTTCATCTGACCTGACATGGATCCAGCAGAATCTTGGACTACACCAAAAACTCTCCATTACAGATACTGTGGAGACCCAGAGACTTGCCGGACTTATATCGAAGCCTGCGCTCTTTGTTTGGACCTGGCTTCCTCAGATCATGAAAAGGTCTCGTTCATAATATCTAATCTGGGTGGTGACGCCCTGGTATGGGCAATGGACTATATTTCTCTGCGTCCGTCCGGATCTGTGTCCTTCTGGGAGTTTGCCAGGGGTCTGCAGGAGACCTTTGGTCGTTGCTCGTCTCCTGTTCCTGTCTCCGATTCCACACCCCAAGAACATCAGGTCACCTCATCCGTATCCACTCTGTCTGTCCCGGTGCATCGGTACTCTCAGATCCGGTTTCCTTTGCCTTTCCCCTGTCCCTGTTGACACTGTCTCTCCCTCCACCCGACGACGACGCCGGAACTGTCGCCAGCAACCCCTGTCCAAACACCACCCACCCGCATCGCAACCTGCTCTGGCGGTGGTCTCTGAGGACGCATCGCAGCCTACTCTGGCGGTGGTCTCTGAGGACGCATCGCATCCTGCTTTGGCGGTGGTCTCTGAGGACTCATCGCATCCTGCTCTGGTGGTGGTCCCGGGGGACGCATCGCATCCCGGGGGACGCATCGCATCCTGCTCTGGCGGTGGTCCCGGGGGACGCATCGCATCCTGCTCTGGCGGTGGTCCCGGGGGACGCATCGCATGCTGCTCTGGCGGTGGTCTCGGGGGACGCATCGCATGCTGCTCTGGCGGTGGTCTCGGGGGACGCATCGCATGCTGCTCTGGCGGTGGTCCCGGGGGACGCATCGCATCCTGCTCTGGCGGTGGTCCCGGGACGCATCGCATCCTGCTCTGGCGGTGGTCTCGGAGGACGCATCGCATCCTGCTTCGACGGATGAGGTCCAAGAGGCCCCGGTCCTGGCCCAGCCTGTCCAAGGGGCTCCGGCCCAGCCTGTCCAAGGGGTACCAGTCCAAGGGTCGACGCCTCCAGGCTCTGAAGAGGACCTCTCCTGCCCCTGCTCTGAAGAGGACCTCTCCTGCCCCTGCTCTGAAGAGGACCTCTCCTGCCCCTGCTCTGAAGAGGACCTCTCCTGCCCCTGCTCTGAAGAGGACCCCTCCTGCTCTCAAGTTCCCCAGTCTGAAGTTCCCCAGTCTGAAGTTCCCCAGTCTGAAGTTCCCCAGTCTCAAGTGTCTGTGTCCCCTCTTAGTCGTAGTCCAGTTTCCCCTCTTAGTCGTAGTCCAGTTTCCCCTCTTAGTCGTAGTCCAGTTTCCCCTCTTAGTCGTAGTCCAGTGTCCCCTCTTAGTCGTAGTCCAGGTCCAGTGTCCCCTCGTAGTCCTCGTCCGCCAGTGTCCTCTGTCACCACACTCCTACAGTCCCGGCTCCTGGTTCCCCGTCGCCGGCCCCCCAGGCTCCCACGGTCCAGGCTCCTGGTTCCCCGTCGCCGGCTCCTGGTTCCCCGTCGCCGGCCCCCCAGACCCTTCTGGCCCTCCTTCCTGGTCCCCCTCCTCCCGCCCTGCTCTGGCCCTCCTTCCTGGTCCCCCTCCTCCCGCCCTGCTCTGGTTTCCTGTGGGCGTCTGGTATCCGCCCTTGAGAGGGGGGGTTCTGTCATGACTCCCATCCTTTACCCTCATCTGCCTTATCATTTCCTCCTCATTCAGCTCACCTTGTCCTCTCACCAAGCTCCAGCCAAGCCCTGTTTTCCCCAGCAACCTCTGTCAGCTTCAATCAGCTCCATTCATTCCACCTGCTCCTGTAATCAGCCTCATCCCATACACCTGCTTCCCCTGCTATAAAAGAACCAGCCATCCAGTCAACCGGTGCCAGATTATTACAGCCTTGTCAGTAGTTCTCCAGCTATCCACCCTGCCTGATCTTTGCCTTTGGACCTTGTTTTTTGCCTGACCCCTGCCTTGCTTTCTGCCTGCCACCTTGACCTTAGCCTGCCTCTGAACCTGCCTCAGCCTTGCCCTCCAGGTACCTCTGCATTAAATAAAGACTTTTTTATATATTTTTACTGTGTTGGCGTCTTCACGGGTCTTCTGAACTCGGTTCCTGACAGAATATTGTAATGGCCTTGCCAGCCTTACCTGTCCAACCTGCTACACCCATGTATCTCCTCGAGTTACCTCAGGTCAGCTGACCAGCTGCTTCTAATTGTTCTAAAGACAAAGCATAAGCTTACCACTTCTTTCCACCAGATGTGAAAATGTCGCGAAACGACCATAAAACATACAACACAATTAGCCATCGTTATAGTGGATGAGTTCCTTTCCACTGGCAGAAATGTGTAACGTTTGCTCAGAAGCAAAGGGATGCATCATTACGTTTTGAGTCTATTTTTTACACTCTATGCTCCCAAACTCTGCAGTTTAGATCGGGTCAGACAGGAAGTCAAACACAAAGCAGTGTAAAACATCCAGAAACTTTCAAAATGAAAATCACATGAAGGTAAACATACATCCTTTCCTGATGATACCCCTGTAGCCATTGTAAACAAAACAGAAAATAAACTACAGGCCTTTTTTGTAAACACGCTGCCATATTTCTCCTTGCATTTTATTGTGTGTGGACTTTTGCAATCACGCGTGGTGAGCACCATGCTTTTCAGAATTGGTGAGTGGCAGCAGCTGAGTTTTTCATTCACAGTGAACATCTCATCTACTAGTAATAAGTTTTCAGGAATTCCAGACTATGGAAAATGACATTCTTGGGGTTGAGCTGACCTAGATGAAAAATTTGATTTGAAGTTGTGCTTGGTCACTTCCGTGTTAGCTTCTGGATCCCCTACGGTGTAAGTCCACAAGGGAATTCATTTGAAGATATTCCCACCAGATTGCCAAAGTCTTATTTATTTTCACATTTGAAATGGAAGAGCTTGAACATGGATTTTACTGCATAATGTTTGTTTCTATGTCCAACAATGAGTCATTGATTGTGTTTCATTTATTCTATTTAAGGATATACTGTCTATGAGTTAGCCAGTAACAGAGAAACCCCTACAGTTTTAAACTCAAAACTCCCTGAAACCAAACCTCTAATTATCAGAAAACAAGACTACTTTATGGTTTTTTTAATAATAAAATGATTATTAAAGCTGTTAACTCAATTTTGGAAAGAAATTACAATGTGAGACTAAATTCATGCTGATAAAATAAAAATAAGAGAGATATTTGACAAACCTTTAGAAAGATTGTTTCTGTGTTTTGCTAATTTGGTTTAGTATTAGCTCACTGATGGATCAAATCTCTGAATCGGCATGTAGAGGTTCTAACAGCCCACCTTGATTCTCTGCCTGGTGGTTAGATTTCTCTCCATGTATTCACAGCCACTGCTCTTGCCTTATCAGTAGTCTGAAGCTTGCATGCTCAATCACCTGATTTGTCAAGGGTGACTCCAGAAGATTCTGATAGGCACTCTGCAAATCACCCAGTTGATCTAAAATATCGACCAGCCACAAAAAGTCATTACACACAATAATGGCGGGCGGGACCTTGAAGATGTGACCTAATTAGGTTTCAAATGCTTTCAAAAATGCCTTCAAATCGTCTCTCCTGGGAAGAAAGGCACTTAGCAATTACAGGTGTGGAAAGACACTGATGATGCTGCCTCTGTCTATAGAGAATAATCTGTAGATAGAGATGAACATTAAAAATGACCATATTTTCATACCGACTCATCCCCGGTGATCTTTAGCTCATATTATTGAGACTATCCTCTACCTTTCAGCTTTGCTGATTTAACCAGATGGATAGTAATTATTGCAGCTGGACCCACAATAAAGTTATACACATAAATGTGAAGTGTTATAAATTGTTTTAGGCTGAATGCAATGGCAGCATTAAATAAGAAACTTTGCTTGTCATTTTCTCCTTGCTCCCTCTGAGTTACTTTATGTTTTGTCTCCTGGCAGAAAACAAAGATATCTACCTACGATAAGATGTGGGAGTTCATGAGCAGTCGGAGGCACTCAGTGATGGTAAAGAACATTGATGAAGGCATTCACCGTGTGCTCACCTCAGACTACGCGTTCCTCATGGAGTCCACCACCATTGAGTTTGTAACACAGCGTAACTGCAACCTTACACAGATCGGAGGCCTTATTGACTCTAAAGCCTACGGTGTTGGAACACCAATGGGTATGTATGATAAATCTATATACTGAGCAATAACAAATATTTTTTATTGGTCCTCCCATAGTTGAAGACATCAAATAATTTGAAATTAAACTGATTTGCCTTTCCCAAAAATATGTATTTGAAAATATTTGTTTGTATGTGTACTTATAGAGTATTAGGACTGAAACACATTGTGATTTCGGTTTTAACAGTTACTCTGGTGTTGATAGTCTCTGAAATTGTGTGTTTTATCCTAACATTAAGTGTGCCATTGCATGAGCTCTTAACAACAGTACCCTCAATGTTAGCCGTTTGTTAATCATATGTTTCTTTCAAAGTATTGATTCCATTATTCCATTTGCAATCAATACAACAATGGGTTTTAGCTGGATTTGGCCTAATTATCAGGTAGACCTCTATGGAACTAGAATTGGGACAATATTATATTTAACTTGTACCATGTTTTGTAACACGTAACTTTCATTTTGTAGCGTGTAATTCTCATTTTGTAGCATGTAACTTCAGTACATAGCATGAAACTTTTATTTTGTAATTTGCAGAAAAAATCAATGTACAAGTTTCAAATCACAACTTTCAACACACAAATCTCAGTCTACAGTTACAAAACTCAAGTCTATAAACACAAAACATTTTGTCCCAATTCTAGCTTTCTTCCAACAGGAATTGGCTTTGACAGGAATCCAAGGCTCACGATTGGCTGGTCAGACAAAGCCTGTCTTAGGTTCTTTGGGAAGCATGCTAGAATTGGGAGATTTGTAACTGTAAACTGAGATTTGTGTGTTGAAAGTTGTGATTTGAAACTTGTACATTGATTTTTTTTTACAAAATAAAAGTTTCTTGTTATGTACCGAAGTTACATGTTACAAAATGAGAATTACTTGCTACAAAACTAAAGTTATGTGTTACAAAACGAAAGTTACATGTTACAAAACAAGAATCATATGCTACAAAACAAGTCACAGTTACAAAACATGGTACAAGTTAAATATAATATTGTCCCAATCCTAGTTCCATAGAATTCATAGTTAAAATTCATTCAGTTTGAGCGAGTCATTGAAAGTTGGACCTGATGTGACACCACTGGTGTTTTTATATTTTTACAGATTTCAAGGCAATCACTGAATAATTTGGAGGATTTGGGGGATTTTTCTACAAAAGATTCAAATGTAGAATATGATGATGTCATGTTTTAGCATTCAAACTCTGAACTTTTCAGTGTGTGAAATCAACGTTAATTCACTCACAAATACTTCTCATAAAGTTTATGCATCACAACACGAACGTTGGTATAGTTTCCTACAGAATGTCTCACTGCTGTAGGACTGGTAGGAGATTGGAGTACATACATCCAAAATCCCAACGACTCTTCATTATCTCAAAAACTTAAAAAAAAAAATAAGACGACATTCTTAGACAAAGTTTCTTTCTTTGTGCACAAAGGGGGTAAAATACAAAGTTGTGCAGTTACCATAGTGACATAAATGAGGTACTAGAAGCAACTTTGACAATTGTTTGGGGTATTTTGTCTCCTGTTGGATATTCAAAAGATTTAATTCCAACTTACTTTTAAATTCTGGGCAGTATACTGTTTGTCTATTTTAATGTAAGAAGTATGCCAAATTATGACTTATTTTCTAACGTTATAATAGTTATATTTTCTAAGCATGTTTTTGAAGTTCTTTGCATAAAATTATTCTCGTTTAAAGCTATTTCAGCAGTTTTAGTCTTTACAGTTTCAGTACTTTACAAAATTAGCTGTTTTAGGGCTCTGTCGCTGTGCCATCATGAGACATCTTGTCCTTGTGAAATGTCTCCCACTGGTCTCTGTGGCCAGAATAGCACACTTGCAACTTTAGAGTGTTGGTCTGGTCTCTGTTAGACTTCGTAAAGTGGAGCTGACATGCCTGGAACTGCAGTCTGCTTTCAGCATATTTCCTGCATGCTTAAAATGTGAGCACGGCTGATTTGTTTGATTTAGTGATGAACCGCTCCTGTAGAGACTAATGAAGGCTGAGGAGACATTTCAGCTGTTAGATTAAGGTGTAAAAAAAGACGTACTCACAACCAAGGAGATAAGTTTCACTTTTGGTTTTACTAACTAGACACTAGGGGATGCTAAAAGCATGCCACAACTGCAAAGTATATTTTTAATACTCCAGTAACTTCCTATGACATTCACCATGACGTACCCACATGATCAGGTGATGTTAGTGCAAAAGGTCCATAAGCCGTGTAGCTCTGATATCTGGGAGGGACTTGGAGTAGAGCTGCTGCTCCTCCAGCAGCAGCCTCTCTCTTTGATATGAGAGGTGGTTCAATGCTAATTTCTCTGTGATATCACAAATGGGGACTACTTGAAGATTTAGCCACATAACTCCTGAAACCAAGCACTGAAAGAAAATGGATAGATGTTTTAATTTCATGTTTGGAGTGTTTATAGAGGCAATAGAGACCCACATGGCAGCACACACAGATACAAAAGGTGAGTTCAATAATATGCCTCTTTAAGACTGTTCTAGATTTCATGTGCTTTACCTGATTGTTCAGTGATGATTGAGTTCTAGTACAACACGTATGCAGTATATTTCAATGAAACTATGAGGCGATTTAGAAAATGAAGTTTAAAACTCAGAGTAACAGTTCTGTCTTAGTTTTCAGATGGCTTGAAAAAGCTTTTTGTCTGTGTTTTCGTGTTTACACTATTTTAAGCTGTAGCTGCTAAACAATTGATCATAAAAATCTGTATTATAATATAAATCTTACTACAGTAATGTTTATGCAGCAGATGTTTGAATGAATGCTAAATGTTGAGGAGTGTTTGGATGATCATTGCAGTGTGATTAAATTGTAGTGGTTGTGTCTAGGGAGGTTGCGTCTTTTGCTCTGGTGCATTTTAATGCAAGTTGTGGTTTCCTCCTGGCACTCAGTTTTTTCTCACTGGTCACATACATACTTAGGCGAATGGTGATGATTCAGGTCGTTTCTTTCTATGCAAAAGACGTTCTTGGAGAACGTTCTTGGATTTTCTGCACCTCTCCTTCAGTTGTAAGTAGAAAGGGGCTGTTTCTAGCTGCTCAACTCCTCAGATAAACGAATAGAAATCATTTGCATGCTGCCTGTATTCAACATATATGTAAAGATTTAGAACCCTAGAATAAATCTGCTATATTTTATTAGTTGTACTTTGAAAATAAAGTGTGTTCCTTTAAAGATTCCCTTTCGTGGAGGACAGACGATAGCCGGTGGCTGTTTCCAGATTAATGGGGGAACTGTCCTTGGGGAGTGTGCATGATGGAAAGGTCATGTGAAGCTGTTTGTGTATGCTCTGCTGGTCAGCCACAGAAGGTAATTTGAGTGACTGTTTAGCTGTGTGTGAAAACATTGCAGGTAGGCTATATTTGCTTTGGGTGATTGCATTGCCTGACTGATGGGCTATTTTTCAAGTTTTTCCTGCTGTGTGTGTGTGTGTGTGTGTGTGTGTGTGTGTGTGTGTGTGTGTGTGTGTGTGTGTGTGTGTGTGTGTGTGTGTGTGTGTGTGTGTGTGTGTGTGTGTGTGTGTGTGTGTGTGTGTGTGTGTGTGTGTGTGTGTGTGTGTGTGTGTAGGGCTGTGTACAATTGCATTTGCTTCCCTTGCCCAGATGAGTGTAAAGCTGACTGTGGTGTGAAATACTTTCTTTCTGTGACTATTTGCTATGTATAACAGTACATGAATGTATTCACAATGTAGAGGAGGGGAATGAAGCAGTGATGAGCGAGCAACCATGTGTGGCAGCTTGACGTGAAAAAGAGAGATAGTGACATCAACGGCACCTGGTGAACCACTCTCAGGCAGTCAGAAGAAGGGATTTGAATTGCTGATCCTGCCCTTGTAGCTTCCCTCACTATAGTCTCATCATTCATGCCATTTGTTTATCAATTATCTCAGCATTCTAAGCAGAGCGTAGCTGTCAGCCCTCATCAGTACCTGGCTTTGTTAAACCCACAGACCCTAGCAGCCCCTGGAGAGTGTCAGCTCCCCTCTAAGTCCCTTTCAAGTTGATGAACCAGTAAGGGAGGTGGAGGTGGTTGGGTTGGTGGATGTTTCACAGAGATCATCTATCTATCATCTATCTATCTATCTATCTATCTATCTATCTATCTATCTATCTATCTATCGTAAATCCTCTAATACAGGCCAGTATTGTAAATCCTCTAATACAGGCCAGTATTCAATTAAAGGCCGGGTCTCCAATTCTGGCCGGTGTCGGAGTCAGCGGAGGCAAATAATGGCCGGTCTCTTATTGTGGCCGAATGGAATGTGGTAACAAGCAAGTACGAGCGTCCCAGCAGCAGGGTTGTAGTCCCCAAATCAACCAGCAGGAGGCAGTAGAAGTTCACGCAGACCTATTTTAGGGTTTTTCTTCAATGCTTTGTAACGCTACAGACACCATCCTCTATCACGCTCCTACCACACAGAGTCACGGTGTCAGTTAACCATGCTAATTCAACCCGCTCCACAGAACACACATCACCTTCCCTGTGGCTTACATAACACTCACACAACACGCAAATCAACACATAGGAACTAGCAGAACGATAGGAAACACATATAACACAATACCCAGAATGCACCTGGCTTACAACCCCAGCCAGGTCATTACACTATCAAGTTCAAAGAGAACGTGCTGATTATGCTGCAGAACAGTCTGGGGAGCAGCAGTAGGGGGTGTATGAACTACAGTAATCCCTCGTTTATCGCGGTAGATGCGTTCCAGACCTGGCCGCGATAGGTGAAAATCTGCGAAGTAGGGACTCCCACCATGCCCCTCGCGGGGATTCCCTTCACGTCGCACCTACGTCACAAACCGCGGCTATAAACGGAATCGCCTTTCCAGCTCACCACTCAGTCATCGTTTCTTCAGATTCACGATCAGAGTTTCCAACCTACCGATCAATCCAATGAACTATCAGCTCATAGTAAGTTATCTTACTTACTTCTGGAAAGCCCGGCATTTCCGTGT